CACCCATGATTACAAAGAAACCTAAAGGCTTATCCAGGACCAGGACAGATCTGCCACCACCAGCCTGTTCCCTTCCTGCCTTCCAGCACAACCCAGGACCGTACCCAGCAACACACAGAACACACCTCTCAACCAACTCCCACAAAGACCTGCTTCTTATGTGAGTTGTAAGAATGGGTTTTAGGCCTGCAGATTACCAAAAATGGCTTTCTCTAGGAAACTGCACTTCTCTTAGCAGACATGGAAAATGATAACAAATTACTGAAGTTGAAGACTTGGACCCTATCAGATTTTGTCTTTTCTTAACTAAATAAACTAGTATTTCCAATGCTTTGTCCTAGTCTCCAAAGCTATTACTCTTTTTGCTCACTTTCAGCTCTCTCCAACTTTTTTACAATTTCTTGAAGTCTCCAGTTTAAGTCTTCCTGCTCACAACCACTTCAGCGAGTCCACTACAGAATTTGCCTTTGATCCTTTGATGGAAGAGTGTAATGCCCAGGTGCACTGCAATAGTGCAGTATAAGGCCCAGATCCTTCTTGCAGCACCGTGTACTTAGTTGTTCACTAGTACTGACTTGTAATTACCTTTTTTTTCTTTTTCTAGATGCAGTGACTGTGCATATCTCCCCTATTTCAAAACAGTTCAGAAATGTATGAAGCGAATGCTGAACTGAAACCTTGACATCCAAAGTGCTTCAAACTCCAAGTTTTGGGTTTTTTATGCAATACTCTATATTTCAGTTCAGATTTATTAAAATATTCAACAGTCCTTAAACTAAGAGAGCCCTCAGGAACTATCCATGATATGTCCTACTGATTTTCCAGTGAGCTACTAAAATCTACTCAAAAAGTACAGAGATACCCACAAATTCAACACCAAGCAAGGTCATGAGCTTTAATAGATTAATAAGTTCCCAGTGAAAGTCTGCATGCATGCTCTTACCCATGAGGAATAAACTTGTCCTTACTGCAGGGTAAGAATACACATACACACAGGGAACCTCACAGCAACAGCCACGCTACTGGGTAAACAAAGATGTGGAGCTGCAGCAACTGCTTTCCTCCTCTACACTTTCAGTACATCTTAACAGCCAGCTGTACACTCCCATTGCAATTTTCTCATCTAAACCTTTTTTCTTTTTCCACAGTCTGCTTCTGTGACCAGAATTTGAAACTGATGCCGAGAATCCTACTAAAATATATGATACAGATCACTTGAGCAAATACATCACTGGAGTGTATGATTTCCAGCTATCTCTTTGTAACTTCTTAAGACTCCTTTGGCCAGTGTTTCAGGGAGATGCTAATCCTCCAGCCTCAAGGATAACCTTACAATTGCCCTGTATCTTATTTTCAAGGAACTGATGCACCTACCAAAGACCTGAAGCAGCCTTGTAAAAGGCGTGGTTGGCTGATCTGTGTCACACTGGCACAAACTAGTACAATACTAAGCCATGTTGGGAAGCTGTATATGCACAATATAATTGCACTACTGCTAAATATTTCACTAGGGATGTAATTTGCTTTTAAAAAATAATAGCTTCAAGAAGCAAACACTTTGATTTTATTAATATATTTGGAGTCCTACAACTTCGGAGGTTGAATGCAATCTCTGGAGGCAATTTGGTCCAACCTCACTACACAAAACAGGACCTAAGATCCTAGATTAAGCGAGATCAGGTTGCCCAGTGCCATGTTCAGTCAAGTTCTATCCCTCTCCAAAGATGGGATTGCCACAACTTCTCTGAGCAGCCTGTTTCACTCTCGAGGTGTTCTCCCATTAAATAGCTTAAGAAAGAAATAATAACTCCCAGCCCCCTTTCTCTTCTCAACTTTGGGCCAGAAAAACGAACAAACAACAAACAGTCCTCTACTCCTCCCTTAATATATTATCCAAAAAATGTTATATATATATTAAAAATGCTTTTTAACCATAATTGCTGAAACACTCAAAGAGACTTGTAACAAACATAAAATTACAGCAAGACCAAGAACTAATACCACCGTCAGCTATTTAACAGAGGTAAATAGCTTGAAAGGAAAACTAGACAAAGAGATGACCCTTTTCGCAATATCTCATGTAGCTGGAAAGGGTTTTTTTTATTTACAATATTTAAATGCAGTCCTGTGAAACAAACAACTTGATTCACAGGCAGTGCACCCGCTGCTGAACTGTCACCGCCTGACATCCTGTCTTATCTGCCAAATTGCTCATTAGGTTTGGCAATTTTCACCTGCGCCTCCAGTTTATATTTCAGCAGGGAATAAACATCAGTCTGCTCTAACAATCTTCTGGAGTGAGCTTCCAACCTCTTCTCAGAAAGCACGCAGGGACACACAAAAAACGTCTTGTGTACTGTATGCTTTTTTAAAAAATGGAGCACAACTGGTGAAAATACAAGAGGAAGCTTAACTAGGGTAACAGAAAAGCAGTAAAAGAGAAAGAGGTAGATTAGAAACCTAAATAAATCAACTGCTTGTATCAATGAACAGTGTTTTCACATTGAAAAACAACATAGGGGGTATGGGCCAGCCTCTCTTTTGTTTCCACATTTAGATGGAGAGATTCAATATGACACAACCTCTCCATGTGCAAAGTACTGGCTGTGTTTATGCATGGGAAAAGAGGGAATCCAGATGAATATTACTTTTCCAGCTGGACCTGATCTAGCTAACCTTTCCCTTGCTAGGAGAGAAGTGATGGCGTGATCTATAAACAAACAAAAGGGGTAGCATGGCAACCAGAACAAAGAGACTAAAATCTCAGCAGGCTCTTAAGCCCCAGCCTAATGTGCTGAGATGCTGCTTCTGAACAGAGCCCGCTCCATACCCCTCGGTGCAGGTGAGCAGGAGCAGGATGGCACAAAGCCACCCTTCTGCAAGTGAACTGCTGAGAAACAGAGCCCAGCTTGTGAGCAAAAAGCACCAGAGATGTAAAACAAAATGTCTCAAACGCTATAAACCAATTTCAGATGGAATATTGTTTTTCATTTGTTAGAAGTAAAATATTCACCGCCAACCCTGCAATTAGCTAGAAAATTACAATAATTACAGCAATTTTGTATCCCATCTCCAATCCAATTAATAGATATATGACCTTGTCAACATGCAATAATCAGGATCAGCATCTCCCACAAAACTGGATGGGTTTTATTTGCTGAATAGAATTTACACAGTAAGAAGATAATTATTTGAAATACTGAGAATACCATTTGTATGCTATGCTTCACTTCACAAGTTATAAAGGAAATACAATAGGGATATTATTTCCATTTTCAATGTATATTTAAATGAAATTCTTGAAATAGGTATGTTTAATACAGAGTAATATTACTGGACTGGGATTCTAAGTCTGTGGTTTGGAACATTTAGAAACAAAATACATCCAATTGTCAAAATAAGAAAGAAAGGAATTAGTTAGTTAGGAGAACATCTCTGATTTGTGATAATATATTTTGTGACAAATTGTTTCATCCATTTTACTTTTTCCACGGTTTTAGAAAAAATGTCAAATAGTTTTAAAACCCTTCTGCATTTCTATAGACCTTTGTATTTGTAAGGTCTCAAAGCACTTTTGGTCATTTTAACACCCAGTGAACTAGCTGAGTATTCCATCTATTTTTCAAAATGACGCCAAAGATAAGTGAGTTGTCCAATATATCACTGAATTTTTACCTGTGCTACATGATTTTTATGCACTAACATCAATGTACTGTTTAATACACCAGATAATCACACAGAAGAGAAAATGTGTATGTATTTTTCTTCTCTAACCCCCTCCAAATTGAGAACACAAGAGGGCAGATTTTTGCCAGTTTTTTTGCCATGGAAATGAGATATGCATTTAGCAGTGGCATACCCTAGTGACAGCAACACAGAAGTGACCAGAAATTCTGCGATACCTCTTTAGCCTGCCATTATTCCTTTCCCTAATTTAATTCTGGTTTATAAAGAAGCACAGTTATAGCTTGAAAAGATACACATTCAGGTCTGTTTAAGCTAATTGTTAAATGTTGTTCCCTTAATTTTACAGACAACACTGATACAAAATCCCTCAAATTTAATAGAGTACTGTAACTATTCCATTTGCATTTTACCTGAGTACTTAAACATAGATTTTTATCCCTTAAAAGAATACCTACAGAAAAGTAATCTCTTGTGAATTACAAATAGTTCTTTAAGATGGTGTATCTGTAGAATAACAAAGAACTGACTGATACTGACTTCTGCCAATAATTTTCTGGAATGGAGTCACTACTTGGAAAGTTCAGTAAACAAAATTATAGATAGTACAAGTTCAGAGGGGCACAATCCTATATCCATTGTTGTCTTGTTTGTGTGGCACCTTTAACAACAATGAAAATTAAACAGGAAATTTCCCTCAGCCATTTTTCTTCTTAATAAGGTGAAATATTCAAAGATCCTGCCTGAGCAAGAACTGTGATATATGTTTCCTGCTTTGCGGGTTTGCAACGATTCTTCCCTATTGTGAAATAAACAAAATAAAAAGGATATATCTGGCTAAATCCTGTTTTTTAAAGTTTATTTATGTAACACAGTAAATGCCTGTATCAGCAGGTGTTTCTACAGAAAGGTGACAAGCATAACCTAGCAACATTGACAGGTTCAGTAGAGAGTGCTCCAATCTATAGTTTCATTTTACCATTTTCTTTATTAAAATGAATAAAATTGGCAAACTGACAATTACACCCTGCAACAACTGCATTTGGAAACTTTGCTATGATTTTCAGTGCGAGGACAATTTTAAACTGGCAGCACAGAAAGAGCTTATTGCTCCTAAAAGCAGTGTCTAAATAATTTATTAAAAGAGAAAGGTTTGTTTACTTGCATGCAACAAGCATTTATGCAGTTTCTCGGTGTGGATCAGCTTTCGATAAGGACAGATAATGAGTCATATTCCCAGCAGGAGGAATGGATAACAGCACTTGGCATCCTCGTAAATGAAGATGAAACATGAGATACCAAGAACATTTACTTACTTGCACGAAGGACTGAAGGGGTGACCTCAATTTCACTTGTTGCTTGGTAAGGCTGAAAGGCTGACACAGCGTTGGACCCCAGCTCACTGCCAAAGATCTCTGGGCTTTGCGTGCCTGTCGAGCTGGCACTGGTGCCATCACCTCCATGGTGTGGATCTTGCTCATCAAACACAGCTACGAGCTGCAAATGACAATTTAATCTACTGTTACAAAAAAGCTTTCAGCAACATCAAAGTGCCATTGTAGATCAGCATTTAATCATTTCTTCCCACCAAAGAGCAAGAAACCTCTATCAGCAGAGACTCAGATCAATGTCTAGATCATAGCATCATCAGCCCAAGGAAAGCCAGCCATTAATTGGATAGTGAAAAGGGTCAAAAGCTCTGATGGAACACAAAAATTGTCACTGTGAGCTGCAGGGTGAATGGCACCAACTTAGGAAAGGAAGGGTCACACCTTCCCTGGCAAACAACTTCATGTTAATGCTGATAAATGCCCATATACTAGAATTTATCACCTGTGCTTTTATACTTCTGCATGCATCATTACTACAAAGTCAAACCATGAACAAAACCACAATTTTGTAAGATAAAAACATACAATAAGAAATTATATTATTACATATCGAAAGCTACAGCCAAAATATGAAGCCACCCTAAAGTATTATGAACATTACAACTTATCAACTATTATCTATTAATCTCTTCCCTATTAGTATGATTTAAGTTGTATGTTTCCACTGAAAAATTCTTTTGTCCAGTTTTTTGAGATACTTCTGTATTTGTTTCCAATCAACTTCTCCAAGACAAGCCTAAGAAGTTAAGCTCAATTTAAAACTTAGTAAAGTGAGTAATTTGATAAATATTTACTACATCTATGTTTACTATTGCAGGAGAAATAGGAAACATGTCATGATGTGTTTTGGTAAATTTGAGATCAGCAGGTCAAGGGAAGCGACTTTCTCCCTCTACTCTGCTCTCTAGAGATAGGCAGAGAGAGTTGGTGTTGCTCAGCATGGAGAAGAGGAGGTTCCAGGGAGACTTCTTAGCAGCCTTCCAGTACCTGAAGGGGCTACAGGAAAGCTAGGGAGGGACATTTTCTTTTTATAAGGGCATATAGTGATAGGACAAGGGGTAGGACAAGGGGTAATGACTTTAAACTGAAAGACAGTAGATTTAGACTAGGTATATGGAAGAAATTGTCTCTACTGTGAGGGTGATGAGACACTGGAACAGGTTGCCCAGAGAAGTTGTGGATGCCCCCTCTCTGGAAGTGTTCAAGGCCAGGTTAGACGGGGCTTTGAGCAACTCAGTCTAGTGGAATGTGTCTCTGCCCATGGCAATGGGGGTGGAACTAGATTATCTCTAAGGTTGCCTTCAACCCAAATCATTTTATGATCCTATACTTCTTCCACTGTAAATGAATGCTTTTATTTGAAAAAAATAATTTATCCCAATTTATCTTTGGTGACCTACTAGAAAAGAAAAGGCCAGCTCTTACACACATTTAGTTTTAGAATGTAATTTTCAAGCTGGGTAAAAAAACTTGTATGGATAACAGCATTCTGCTGTTATAACAGCCTATAAATTAATCTATAATGTAATATTTGAAAGACATTTTTAAGAAAGCATTACATTCTTCTGTCCAAATTAGTAGGGCAAATGGAACAAATCAGCTTAAACCCATGCTGATCTCTGCAGATCATTTATTTTGTTAGAATGACACCCAAAGCTTCATATAACCTAAAGGAATCAGAGAGTTCATCCTATAGATTTTAATATTAGCCCATTTAGTCAAATCTAATTTACACAAACATCAGGAAAAAAATTGAAAACTGTAAGGGTTTTTTTTTCCAAGTGGAAATTCCAACTTGGGAATTCAGCTTTTAAAAGTAATTCTGGCATTAACTTTTTTTAATTAGTAGTTTTAAATTGCAGAGACTAGCAAATTTCTGCTAATAATTCCATACCTAATGCAATTTTAGGTTCTGGCATGTACTAAGTAGAAAGAAGTTGGCAATAGGTTAAAAGTCTATGTTCTCTTCAGCACTATTTGAAAGGTAGGGAACAGAAGGAAAAACAGGCTGCAGCAGCAGGATGCTGGAATATGTTTTTAACATACAATTCATTATTTTATGCTTGAGAAATCTACATATGAGGGCAACAGAAGAGACATGACAACATCTAAAATGCCAGTAGTTCAAGAGTATTGGAAATGCAATTTTCTAATACATTGTGAAATACCAATGCTTACATATATTGAAGCATATTTCTCAACAGAAGCACACTTTACTCCTAGCACATTTACTATCTGTTTTATAATAAACTAATTACCAATTTCTAGCAACTGAAAATAAATCAATCCACAAGTGAAAATGTGTCAGGTATTAGAACACAACAGAAATGATGCATTTAAGAATTCCAGGCATGAAACATCAAATCTTTTTCACCTTTGCATGCACATATCAAGATAAATCCCTAAATTACATTCTCTTCCTTTCAGGCTGATTGAAAAATACTACTCAACACAACCTACTGCAAGTATTTCATATATAGTATACATATTATACATATGTAAAAAGGTATGTCCATATAAAACCCTATATACTTATGTAACTTTTTGCCTATTCAAGACAGTCTACAACCTATGACTTCAGAACATTTAAAAACAAATGTTCCAAGCTTTGCTTTTGATCTTTTGTATTTTCACAGATATTTACCATTTTGACAGCATCAAGCCTTCAAAAGGCTTCAATTCCATTAAAAAGCATCCCAAGTTGAAACATTTTTTGTATACAACATGTGAAGAAACACAAGCCCCGCTAGTCTTTTCCAAATCTAATTAGTGTTACATTTTATTCTACAGTAGCAGCTTATAATTCAACCCAGGTCTGCAGCAGCTCTGCCATGCAGTTTAGGAAGCTTGTTGTAGAACAGCGTTCCACAGGTACGCTCCTTCCTCATCAGGAGCTAGAACATCTTCAGGACTGGAAGACTTAACGTGAATATACAGTGTTGGATCTTGACTTCCAGAGCTTGGTAGGCCACTCTCTGGATAACAGTGAGCTCACACCAAAAAAAAACGTCAAAACAACTTCCACTGTATTCTGAGATCAAGCATTCATTTCTGATTTCTACAATACATTTTATTTTAATCAAGGGATCTCTTCAAGGAAAGGGATTGCACCCTTTTGTACCTCTAGAGGCCCAGAGATCACACCTCTGTTACCATCTTTGTAGGAACAAGAAACAAAACAAAAAACATAGGAAGAGACACCTTTAGCTGCTTAGAATGAAGCCACACTGGACCTGTGAAGAATCCTTTGGCAGGTTCCATGTGCAGCAGGAGCCCACAGCAATAAACACTGTCGTCAGCCACGGAAACAAATAGCCTGTCAGTGAGATGTCAGTCATGTTTAAAGGCCAAAGAGATGTTTTTAATTTGGCAAAGTAGGGAACACAGATTACTAGACTAGCTTTTATCACACCTAACATCAATGGTAAATCTATGATATTTTGCTAGGCTTTAAATATAAGATTTACAAACACAATAGAAAACAAAGATGACTATCTTTTCTGGAAACAACAGCATTTTCACTGTAGGGATATTGCTTCCATGTTGACTTTTTTTTTTTTTTAATGTTAAATAAATGACTGAAATTTACCTCAACCATATACTGTGTCAGTTTTCAAATGCAAGGAACTGCATAGACCTTTCCAGAATCACTCTGATTACCTTAAGTACCTGGCATGAGCTGTGCCTCCTGATCTCTGCCCTTCAGTTTTAGATCTCATCATCTGAAGTGACCTGAGAAACTCATCATCCATTCTTTGCAGAAGAGATCAGAAGAAAGGCTGAACAAACCATAACAACTCACAAAGAAAGAAGAAACTACTTTAGCTGTTCAATATTAGATCAATATTAGCCCTTTAAAAGATCTTACACCAAAATTCAGTGACAATTGGAGCCATTTGTCTTGTTTGAATCCTTTTTTTTAAAAAAAAAAAACAGAACCTCACAGCCAAAGACTAAATTTCAACATTGACAATGATAAAAAATAAATAATAGTAGTAGGAAGTACACTAATAAGCTATATCCACTCCCCTTATTCCATGAGACCTGAAGCTGAATGCATGAAAGACATGAAAATATGGTAAAAAAACGTTACAACAGTTTTAATCACCCAGGGTAACAGGACACACCATTTGCATTTTTCAATCACTAAACTAAAAATCTGAAACTGGGAAATTAAAATCAAGCAGTAACAAACCACTCTGTCTTCCCCAAAAAAATTAAAAAATGATAGGCTTGATTTAGACTGGCATATTTACATTTCTAATGATAATATGGCAAAACAATGGAAAGGAATTTTTTTATACAGACACACATTCCTCACTGATGTAAGCTGACACAGGAAGAATCATCAGTTTGAACAAGAGAAGAATTTGTTCCTCAGTGTAAATGCACACTAATTTTTCAAGAAAAATGAAGTTTCAATTAGTCAGCAGCATGTTCAGCAGCTTTGTGCAGATCACAACTTATGGAAAGGTTCATTCCATTTCAGCAATGAAATCTTAAGTCATGAAAAGGTCGATATGCATAAATTAAAATACTCCTATTATTTTAAGTCCAGAGACAGAAATGAAAGTAATATTTTATAAATTATCAACAAAAGATACAATTATTTTTTTAAAAAGCAACCACATTCAGCATTTGACCAATAGTAATTTTTGTGAAAAATACAAATAACTGCAGCAAAGCTCAACAACTACCCCTGTGGTAAACAGCCTACTTGTGATCCTAACTGTATTTTAAGAGGTGTTTTTTTTATTGGTGTCATCATCCTCTGAAGACAAAAAAAGATAAAGAGTACAGTTTAAAAAACAGTTACGAAGCAAACACTCTCCTGTCTGATAAAGACTCTTTCTACAGCAAACATAAAAAGAAAGGGGAGCAACATAATTTAATTATTTTTGCTAAATATAACAGCTTCATCAAGCAAATGGCTTAGAAAAACATTATTCTATAGGCTGTGATATCAAAACAAAATTTTAATGAGACACCTTTGGCTTTGGGCTAAGGAGGAAGACATTCCACCAGATCACTTCATTCAGCCCTCTATAGCACATCTGACTAACTTCCAACAACACGATGTTGTACAGAATTAATTACTCTGAGCTT